ATGCTTTAATCTCGGAACAATTGGCAAATACCATAAAACCTTTGTTGGAGAACCCTTAATGCTCACATCATAATCAGAATCATCCTGCTTCTTTTTATATCGTGACAATCCACATCTTGGACACTAATGCAAACCTTCAAACTCACCATGATACAATATACAATCACTTGGGCACGCATGTATCTTCTTATACTCCAAACTCATGGCACACAACACCTTTTTCGCCTCGTAGTTACGATTGGGCAATGTGTTACCCTCTAGAAGCATTTCTTTTAGAAACTCTAACAATTTTGTGAAGTTTTTATCACTCCACCCATTTATTGCCTTTAGATTGAACAATCTCAATACCATAGACAATCTTGTGAATTTTGTGTAGTTTGGATACAACGACTGCTCTGAATCACTGCAAAAAGTTTCATATGTATGTGCTTGCTTGAATGATTCTGGACCCACATCACGAATCATCTCCTCTAGTCGATCACTCATATCTACCTCTTGTGTAAAAGTTTGAGTTTGAGTTTCGACTGACACACTTGGAATGTCAATATTGTCACCGTGTCATATCCAACGTGTATAAATTTTAAGAAACTCATCACATAGAAGATGTTCCCTTATAACATCAAGTTCAAAGCGAGTTGTATTACAACAATTAACACAAGGGCAGGAAAACTTTCCATTCATATCATCATTAGCATTCTGTAGTACATATTCAAGAAAATATTTCACTCCAGTCTCATACTAATCACTCACGCGTGACATACTTATCCAACTTCAATTCAATAACCAACTATTGTCCATAACTTCTGTTCTTCATAAAAAAAAAATAGACCATGCATATCAATCTCACTATTTTATACAAGGTGTGTGACCCTATCCCATTTAGAAAATAAGGTATCTAATTTTTTTCATGGTACTCATAAAAGTCAAAGAAGAAATATATAAAGTTAAAACTATTAAAGGGTTTAAAATAGTAATGTTTAATATTTAAACTATTTTATTTCTAATCCAATGTATTTATTAACTAATATTTCTAAACAATATTTTTCCAACTAATTTAATATCATATTAATTGATGAAAAACCAAATCACCAAGTTAGAAAAACAAGTGTTATAAATTACTTATTTTATTGAAAAAAAGGGAAAAAAATCAATATAAGCAAGCAAAAATCCAATACAAGAATTAAAATGGCACATACTAAATTGGGGGTTATACCACGAGCAACAACAACAACGTTACAGATTGTATATTCCAATATCAAGGCTCAATCAATCACCAAGCAACATTGAAAATAAAAGTAATCATGTTATTGAGTAACCCTAATCAAGAAACAATAATTTATTTCAACCCTAATCAAGAAACACAATAATTTATTTCATAATAATTAATGTAAATTAACTAACTTCACATTTAGAAATTTCATTGAGATAATAAGAGCAATATCAATGTCATTTTGCAATAAGTAAACAACAATGATACAAATTAACTAACAGGATAAACTTACCTTTAATTTTTCTAAAATTACTAAAATACATGAACCTATTTTTAAAATGATATTAAAAATCACTCTTTTATATATAACAATTATTATTTATTTCAATTAGTAATCTTGCAAGATACAAGGATTCTTCTCGTAAAGAATCTATCACTTTATTTTGTTCCAAAACTCATAAACAAGTAAATAAAAATTAAAGTAGCAAAATCCAAAACACGTATAAAAAAATAACCCATTTGAGTCCTATTTTAATTCATATTAAATGTTGAATTAATTAATAAGTGAAAGATATTTATAATTTTTGACGCTGCATGTGGATGAACTATAATGCCATCTTTCATATAAACTATACTGTCATCATATTACACATCTTGCCAACATTAGTCCAATTATCATACCTAATAGAAGTATCACCCTTGCCAACATGGAATTTGAAACCATTCATCAATTTATTTAGAAACGTGAGGCACTTAAAATATGCATTATATTCAGGTATTTGTGGGACAACACCCAGACTTTGGCATTAGTGGACATATAAAACTTGCAGGTCATAAATATGATCAAAATATTCTAAGTCTCAACATTGAGATCTGATAATGATATAAATAAAAAATACGGACTCTACTGAAAAAAAGAGATAGCTATATACTAAAAATCATTTGCTAACAATCAAAATATAATTTCTACTATTGCAAAGAAACCACGTTGTGTAGTGCAGCTACTTTAAAAAAAATATTGGAACACTTTGTTTTTGCCAACATTAGAAAACACTATTACAGTATCACAAGCTATATTAATAGAAATTGGTTTAATGAAAATGATTAGTTCTCTACACATTGTTTCACTCTGACATTGTTTGCTTGGTAAACATTTAAAAATTATATACAATTGATGACATTACTGTATATAAAATGAGAAATAGAAAAATTTTAAATAGTTTCACTCTAATTATAGTTAGCTAATAATAAATATAGCAAATCATGGATGAGCTTTTTCCCATACTAGATATTAAGTCATCAAGGTATTACCAAAACTTTCATCCCCAGTTGCACAATTGATTTGTCTTTATTCCTTCACCTATAAAATAACAATTAATGGTTTAAATTTTAAATATTAGTACAATTAATGGTTCATTAAACGTCCTATCCAAAGCCCATGTGCGCACGCTCGAATAAATACAAAACAAAAATTATATTTGAAGACTTACACATAACCTTCCCAATGGAGCAATTATAATTACAACTCCATGGTCGATTGCAGAATGGGTGTTTTTCAACGAGAAGCAATTTTCTGGCGCTTCCACTTGTCCCTAGTATTACATATATATCCCTAATTTCAAAATTTGAATATAGAATTCTACAATGCTTAAAACCCTATACCTTGCAATAGAAAGTGCAATATTATCAATTTCTTAACTAGAAATAGGAAATGCGAATTATTCACTATTTCTTCAAGAACGATGAACACAAAACTAGTGGTGACAATGTGAGAACCTAAATGTGGTACACTAACCTCAATGTGGTAAATGACGGTGAAAATCGTGAAAATGGTGCAGGGCACAATTTGAGTGAACAATGAAAATGTGAGAATGAGAGACCGTGACAGAGATAAGGAGAAAAAAAATGGTGAAAACGCCTAACAGTGTCAGCGGTTCAATGAAAAGGAGAAATAGAGAAGGGGCGAAGGAGTGATGTGATCCCTTATAAAAAATTTTAAAATCGGATATGTGAAAATTAATTTTGTATGCAAATTACCTAATCGGCACCTAAATGGCCGAACCAGGTGGCCGATTATCATTCGGCCGCTAAATGATCCATAGGCCTAGATTCCTATTAATATGAATCAAGGATTAACCCATAATCAAGGATTAAGAGCTAATCACATTAGCAAGCCGATTAGAGACGTATTACCTAATCTGGTAATCCTGTTGCAGGATCCATGGGAATCCGGGCTCATAAATGTCAGTATAAATAGTGCATGTCACGAGGTAACGTCACTGTTCATTAATTACTATCGATGTCTGTGCTTTGTCCTGACTTGAGCGTCGAAGTGCCTTTTGCAGGTTTCTTCCCCTCATCGAAATATTCGATCGGAGTACTCGTTCGACCCTCAGAATACAAGAAGATTACTAGTGTGCCCTTTAGGCAGGTACAACCACCAAACATAGTATAAAGTTATTTTAGAAAAAAAATGTCAAAATAGATAAATTTATTCGGTCTCAAAAACTTGATGCTGTTTTTATATATATATATATATATATATGAAGGTCACTTAACAGGGTAAACCAGGAAATGGCTTGTTATTCAAATAAATAGAGCAGCCAGATCCATGAAAAGAGTGCATTCCTATGTTTGATTCACAGCTTGAAGGGGTCCAAAGAAGAGTTCCCATCAAGGCCCTTTGCATAATAATATGCCATGAAATCTTTTAAGGTAGTGTCCCTGTAGATAGGTGGGTTTTCTTCTGAAAGCAGTTCCTTAATTGGACCATACACCTTTGATGTACCCTCAACTGGGTCGTGTGAATTTACAAAGAAGCTGGCTACAGAACACTAGTACATAATACACATTTTACGTCGGTTAGTTTAGGGGTTTTTACGTCAGAAAAATGTCCGACGTAGAAGCGGGAGACGTAAATTTACGTCGGGGCGCGAAAACCGACGCAAATTTACGTCGGACATGTGAAGGTCCGACGTAAAAAGTCATAAAAAATTTAAAAAAAAAAAAAGAAAACAAGTGCAGCAGAACGGCCCGTTCTGCTTGGAGAACGGGCCGTTCTCCAAGAAGAACGGGCCGTACTGCTTGGAGCACGGCCCGTTCTGTTTGAACAACGGCCCGTTCTCCATGGAGTACGGGCCGTTCTGCAAGCAGAACGGGCCGTTCTACAAGCAGCACGGGCCGTTCTGCAAGCAGAACGGGCCGTTCTGCTTGAGAGACCCAGGAGCGCGTTCTCAGGTAGACTTGGTCACTTCCTTCTCCATCTCCAGCTTCAAAAACTTGAAACAAACAGATGAAAAAAACATCATTTACGTCATAGAACTTCATAGAAAAGCCCAGAAACAGAAAAACACAAACTTGAAGATGGTACCTCGAAAAATTATAAGGAAGGAAAATACACATTTAGTCGTATGAACGCAAACTGCTTGTTTTTGTCGTATGAACGGAGACTGAATGATAGAAAAATTATAAGGAAGGAAGGACCGAAAGAGTAGGAGGCAGAGGGATTTACACAACGAAGAGGGAGAGGGTTTACAGAGAAAAAAATGAAAAGTGATGAAAAGTGAATGCGCGCGGTGTGCCTCGCGCTCTCTTATTCAAATTTGCGTCTTTTTTACGTCGGACCTGGTAGGGTGCGACGTAAATTGGACTTTTTACGTCAGACCTTCCCAGGTGCGACGTAGATTGGACTTTTTACGTCGGACCTTACCAGGTGCGACGTAAAAAAGTTCGCAAAAATTACAAAAATGTCACCGCATTTTTTTTACGTCGGATTTTCGTATTTCCGACGTAAAAGGGGTGACGTAATATACTTATTTTCTACTAGTGGAAATTCTTGGGCTTGACTTGTTTGATAAGACTCGGTGATAAACACTGACGAACATGTCATTTGTGATAAGCTGCACCAGCATGAACTAAATTGATTAGTGCTATTCTGACATATTGTGTCAAAGAAGGAGCAATGAAATTGATTTGCTTTCACTGAATTCAGGTGTTTAATCAATCAGACGTTTATGGAGAAAAAACACAACCAGAGAAACAACGAAAAACTCAACTAAAGATAATAAAGCAAAAAGGATATACTAAAACATTCTGACCATAAACTAGATGCTTAGTACGATACGGATACGATATAAAACGGATACAAGATTATAATTATTTTTTAAAATTAAGGATATGATACGTTAAAAAAAAATAATTTTTTTTATATAAATATAAAATATTGGTAGTAAAAAAAGAGAGAAACATGTCTTTGTTGAATACGCACATTAACTTTTAAAAGATTTTTCTGTTTAAAAATTTTAAAAATAAAAATAAAAATATTAATATTAATAAAATGAATATTTGGATAAAAAAATGTATCCAAGTCGTATGTATCCAATACATTTTTTAAATAAAAAATAAAAAATAATCATATACTCCTGAAATATGTATCCTTATGTATCTGAGCCGTATCAGTGTCTGATACGAGTACAACACCGATACTTTTTCATTTTTAGAGTATCCGGACTTAATAGCATTCCGAGAATGGATGGGAATAAAAAAAGAAACAAATAGAGTGCATATGCTGGTGTGCGCAAATTTTAGAGGTAGATGGTAATTAAACTAATGAGAGTATAGAATTAAACATATGTTTAATATTGAGAACCTTCTACCTTGTACTCAAAGTTTGATTTAGTACGTAACATTCGGTTTCCTGTCATTTTATTAAAACCAAAAATATGTTTTTATTAAACTAATGAGTATTCTTTGTAAGCAGGTAAACAACTGTGACAAGATCAACTATCTCACTTTTTGAGGTACTTCTAACGTAACGAGCAGATTGGTCACTACCATCGGTAATAAATATTTCATGGATAAAAAAAAAAAAAAAACAACTATGACAAGAAACGTTAGCAACTTAAGGGGGTCACACTCACTCAAGGTCCAAACATAATTCAAGAATAAAATGACTATCAGACTATTATTAGTACTTTTATGGGTGTTGCCAAGAGTTGGTTATTGTTGTTTTTGGACTTTAAGCCTATTTTTTAGTTTCTTTCCCTAATAG